CATATTATAAGGTAAGGTTATAAAACCACCATTTAAGATCATTTTAGTGAAAGTTTCATGTTCCTATCTCATAGAATTTAAGAACAATGATGAATAAATAATTTTCGAGCAAAATTTAAATGGCCGGCTGAATATATTACCGCAGGAGCCGCGGCCGCGGAATTTAAATGACCACGTCAAAGGGTTAAGTGTGAATATTCGTAAAAAGTGTTGGATGTTGTTGAACACTGTGTTTGAAATAACTAATTCATACTTAAGTGTAATGTAAGAAAACTATTAAATAGGCCATGAGATGACATAAAAATGAGGTTGAATAAATTTAAATACGGGTAGGCCTATAGTATTATGAAGGTACAGTATTACAGTACTATAAAATTTGTCTTAATCGGGTTTTCGATTAATCGTGATTTCCATCCCCACCATTATCCTGGATAATCGAGAGTTGAGTGTAATTCTCTTCAGCTCTGTTTAATGACTTCTTAAGGAAATATTTGACAGCATGGGAGGAGGATTCTGAAGAGATTAATCATGCATACAGAACAAATGAAATTATTTTCCCTCCAACGTAGAAGTCTTACGAACAAGTTACTTGGCTTTTTGTAGCTGAATACTGTTCTGCTGTTACATTTGTTATAGTTTTTAAAATTACTTTTTTTATAGGTTTTGAAACAGAATCCTTTCTGGTGGACACACCAGCGCCATGATGGCAAACTGTGGAACCTGAACAATTATCGTACAGATATGATTCAAGCTCTTGGAGGTGTGGAAGGCATCCTTGAGCACACACTCTTTAAGGGTACTTACTTTCCCACCTGGGAAGGTCTCTTTTGGTAAGCAGTTTCTGTAATAACACTTCCCCTGTCAGGTAGTTAAGTGAATTAAGTTCCTCTCAACTAACCGTATTGCCCAAAATGTTGCAGATTCAAAAAAGATACTCACAGACATTTGATACCATCATATGGCTTGGACATAGAACTCTGTACTAAATATATGCAAGACAAGGATATGTATGTTTGTGTAAGGGTGGGCCATAGTAATTTGTCCCTTCCACTGTGACCACTGATCTTCTGTGCTTCCCCTTTGATTAACCCTTTATTAATCCTACACTTTGGATGAAATGTAGGATCCTTTTTAGAAGGGCGTCATAATAGTCACTTGGTTCCAAAAAGTACTGGCCCAGGTGATGAAATCTTAAATAAGCCATGGCCTTGCAATCACTTAGGATATGTAAGACAAGGATAGCCAGCAGTACAGTGTTCATTGAGCAGTGCTGAAAAAAAAAAGTTGAAGGCCAGAGTACTTTAAAGGCAGAAGTCTCTGGACCAGGCTCAAGGAGGGCAGAATGGCAGTCTGTGAGATATCTAGGATATGAACAAAATGCGTCAAAAGATTCTGTTGTGTCTTGTGTAAGAAATGTGTTAATTGAAGTAGGTGGTCATGTAGTGAGGCATACACTGGATGTTGACACTAATTTTCTTGAGCTGCTAGGAACTTCACATGGTAATTGTGTCATTTTGTACAGGGAAAAGGCATCAGGATTTGAAGAATCCATGAAGTATAAGAAGCTGACAAATGCCCAGAGGTCAGGCTTGAACCAGATCCCAAACCGTCGTTTCACTCTTTGGTGGTCACCAACCATTAATCGAGCAAATGTGTATGTTGGTTTCCAGGTACTGTATGCATTACGCATTGTAGACTCAAATGTTATAACATGCTCTAACATAGAAGATTATGGTCTTTTTTGGGGGGTGGGGGAGGGGATGCAATGTAGTTTTGTAGACAGGTACCATATTTTTGGAAGTGTCTGCTGCCTACATCTTCTGGATATTTCTGCATTGAAGAAGGAGACAGCAGGTTCTTCCAAAAATTTTGTTCCCTGTTGGAGCACATGCCATCACTCCCAGAACACTGTAATCTTTACATTGAACCTGTAATGCTCTCAGAGAAGTCTCAGTATTGCATGTGATTAATTTGTTCATACATTGTTCTTATAATTTTATTTTTGTTGTGAGTTTCAACCAGTCTGTTATTTGTTTTCAGGTACAATTGGATCTAACTGGCATATTTATGCATGGCAAGATCCCAACACTCAAGATATCATTGATCCAGATATTCCGTGCCCACTTGTGGCAGAAAGTGCATGAATCCATTGTCATGGATCTCTGCCAGGTAAGGCACTGGGAACTGGTTGTGGCGTTTTGTCACCACACTAGGCACATTAATGATTCATATTGGTGGAGTCCTTGGGTTGCCCAAGTTAACACTGATAAGGTTTCCATAGTTCTCTTATTAATCAAGAACAATGTAATTTGAGCATTTGACTTGGTTCATCCTGGCCTGGCACATAACAGTAGTATAAAAGTTCATCATTGTCATCCAGTGTGATTAATAAATATTTTCTTATTTTTTTAATAATTCATCCTTTACATGTTTCGGTTGGAGTGGCCATCTTCAGAAGGACATATCAATGCACTCATCTTCCTTTAAAGAGAAGCAGTATAAAGGACACAAAACAAATTGGTTCTAGATTTTAACAAAGTTTTATAAACCATAATTGTAAATAGAGTAGTTGTGATCTATAATGTTTAATAAATTCATGCACATCGCTATAGCTGTTAATGGCTAACATTTTATTTTCATGACATGATGGAGGTGTCTGTGTAGTGACCAGTGACATTGTAGTAGTGGTTTCCGCATGTATTGATATGTCCTTCTGAAAATGGTCGCTGTGACTGAAATGTATAAAGGACAGATTATTAAAAAAAACAGTCACACTGGATGGCAATGATATTTTATAATTTGAGCATTTTCTTTTGTTGCAGGTGTTTGATCAGGAGCTGGATGCTTTGGAGATTGAGACTGTGCAGAAGGAGACTATTCATCCTCGTAAATCCTACAAGATGAACTCTTCATGTGCTGATATCCTCCTGTTTGCAGCATACAAGTGGAATGTCTCGAGGCCATCCCTTCTAGCTGACTCAAAGTAAGAGATATTTGATTGTGACTGTGTAGACTGAATTGGATATTTTTGAAGTTGAGTGGGGTGGATGGTCCACTGGAGTGCTAAAGGGAAATAGCTTTAGACAGTATTGCCAAACTTTGGGAAAACTAGTCACATGTTCACATTTTTTATCAGTGATGCAGAAAAATGAAAGATGTTCTTTTTGCTGACCTCAGTTTTAAGTTTAATGGAGAGTGCTTAATGTCCACTGTGTGGAGATGTGGAGATAAGTTTGCCCCAGTGCTTGAACAGTGGCTGAGTGAAGGGAAGGCTCCATGTGGTCTTAACTTTGACACCGAATGCAAGTAATTGATCAGCTTAATGCTCCCATTGCTTTATTATGAGTTAAAGAACCTTTGGTACCTGTTGGATAGACTCTGTGGCCACCCAAGTCCTGGCTGCGACAGTTGTATTCCTTCCACTCATAATTTAAACTCCATAATGATACTGACCAATGTGACTTCTGTGTATGGATGATTGAAGTTATATTTACTTGTTGATAACACTAGGGACACAATGGACAACACCACAACACAGAAGTACTGGATTGACGTGCAGCTTCGATGGGGTGACTATGACTCTCATGACATTGAGAGATACGCTAGAGCAAAGTTCCTGGACTATACAACGGATAATATGTCCATCTATCCATCTCCTACAGGATTGCTCATTGCTATTGATTTGGCATACAATTTATACAGGTAATAAAAGAAGCTGCAAAGCTTTCATGGCATTTTCCCTATATGTCATTTCTAGTTCACCATGTGTAATATTCTGTTACTCTGTTGGTGTTAAACAACTACATTTTATACAATATCATTACACAACCTCTAAACCAAATGGATGTGCCCTTGTGCTTTTGGGGTAGTTGTAATGTGTGTATGTATGTATTTTTGTCATTAATTCAGTAACACTGTGTATCTCACGGTGTGGCATTGATTGGTAGGAAAGGTATGGAATGAAGTGGACATTTATTTATTAGTATGACTATGGAAATAAGGTGGGAGGATGTGGACTGTATTCATCTGGTTGAGGATAGGGGCCAGCATTGGTGTCTTGTGAACTGAGTGATGAAATTTCACTTCTGTAAAAGGTAGAAAACTTCTTTGCCAACTGACCTTATCATGAATGACTTGGCTCCTTCAAGTTGGTTTAGTGTAATCTTTTCCATTCATTTTAACAAAATACTCTGTGGCTGATGTAGTTTGGGTCTGCAGTTTTAGTCATGCAGTTTATCTTAAATACATACATTTAATTAATTTCTGCTGTAATTATAAACTGACAAAAGCATGTTTTGGAGTTGAATTTGTAGAAATTGATGTTCTGTTTATATTTGTATTTTGTGCAGTGCCTATGGAAACTGGTATCCAGGCTGCAAACCGCTGATCCAGCAAGCCATGGCAAAGATTATGAAGGCAAATCCAGCATTATATGTACTGAGGGAACGCATCAGGAAGGCTCTGCAGCTGTACTCGTCAGAGCCTACTGAACCGTACCTCTCATCTCAAAACTACGGAGAGCTCTTTTCCAACCAGATCATCTGGTGAGTTGAGAGGAAGAGATGGATGGCATAAGCACACTAGAGTACATGATTTATTTAAACCGTCTTGCAGTGCATACACTCATCTATCTCCTTCTCTCACCCGCACTGCATGTTTCGGCACAAAAATGCCATCTTCAGGTGCTTACTCAATCCACGTCAAACTAGTTCATTGTATGCCTTGTCCTCACATTAAAATAACTAAAATATATATCTATCATATACATTGACAAATGTCAAACGTTAAAAATATTAAAATTGTTCCGGATTTTAATATTTTTAACGTTTGACATTTGTCAGTGTATATGATAGATATATATTTTAGTTATTTTAATGTGAGGACAAGGCATGCAATGAACTAGTTTGGCGTGGATTGAGTAAGCACCTGAAGATGGCATTTTTGTGCCGAAACATGTAGTGCGGGTGAGAGAAGGAGATAGATGAGTGTATGCACTGCAAGACGGTTTAAATAAATCATGGACTTAAATCAGTGCAACAGGACGCTAAAATATAACACTAGAGTACTATAGCTTTGTGCTGTTATTCTTTGTTTTCTAGATCATTTCCTGTCAGAGACATTCATTTTGTGTTGTGCTCTTGATTCTTGCACTCCTCTATCTGAGGTTGGTCATTTAAAGTGCTTTGTCATATCCAAGTAAGGCTCAATAGTAACACACAGTGACAAATCAGAATCTTATAGGAGTGCATCATTTTGTGTTATCATTGTCTGTGTATATATATGTGTGTGTGTGTGTTGGTTTTTACCTTCGACACAAGAAATCTACCATATCATTTGCTCACACTTTTATTGTGTTAATTATGTTTTATATATATATATGCAGAAATCAGAATATTTCTGTGGTGGACATGAAGTTCTTGTGATTGTAAAGGATATGATCTAGGTTGTAAGCTGTGTAGTTTGCTAGAAGTCCACTGACACTTTTTCAAATCATCATCGCAGTTCTGTCAAGCTACATGGCATTACAATCAAGATCATACTCTTCATAATATTTCTCTTTCAGACTTCAATTCAGGCATCTAGTTTTTTCTGTGTCAGTAGATGGTGGATGCTGCCTTTTGAAATTCCTTGGACATACTGTAAATTATAGAGTATGGTCTTGTGACAGACGTTACATCGGTGAATCAAGCAGACCTTTAGAAGTACACGTTATAGAGCATAAATATAACTTGACACAAGGTGTACTTGAAAAATCAGAATTAGCCCAACATGCATATGAAGAAGGCCACAAAATATGTTGGAAAGAAGCGAGGGTCTTGCAGATTGAACCGTACATCACAAAGAGGAAATACAAGAAATCCTCCCACATATCTCTGATAGATCATCTTAACAGTCAACCAAGCTTGAACATCTCTCCCATCTAGACTCAAGTTATCACAGCAGAAGGCTAAAAACTACAACTCAAGCAAGTGTAGATTATGCAGGAAAATTAATATTTTATGTTGGTACTGTACAGAGAATTTCTCTCTCAAGTGATAACTTCCATTCTGATAGTCCTGTGGTGCTAGGCCTCGTGTGTGGAGTATATTTTTTTAATGTTTTGTCTTAACTCTCATAGATGGTTTATGCTGTGCTTGGTTTGTATACCCTATCTTGTGTTGGTCTAGGTGTCTGCAGATAGGGACTAGCTCAATTGATTGGGCCCAGCTGAGTAGGTTTTACCTGAAGACAGAGACAGAATCCAGCCTCGTAAATGTATTGTAAATAAAAACAGGAGGATGGATGATGTCCAGAAACGTAATATTTGTGTGGTCTTCTTGGTTGTAACACTGTAGTTTGGACATAGCCAAACAGTTTGGAGGAACATACACCTCCATCTTCATGGTCAAAGAGAAAGCTAGGCAAGATACCAGCAGAAGCAGGTGGCAAGCTGTACATGATGTTTTTCTGAAACATCAGGCTGTCTCTGAACTACATGGTGTTGAACAGTCCATTAGACAATATTCTTTGTAGTCTGCCATGAGAACCTCAAATCGAAAATACTGTGCATTGTTTGCAACTTTTTTTCTTACTGTTAAATACTGCAAACCATTGGTATATGGCAGAAGATGTTGGGCTGGCAGGTAAACCCGCGGCAGAGCTGCTGGGTGTAAACCTGTTAATGTTGCTCTCAGGGTTTGCTATCATGTTTGTGTGGATTCAGAAGCTCAGCAGAAAAGAACATGTAGTCCCAGTGCCTGGTATCTTCTGATTTTGAATGTGCTTGTCAGCGTGAATCTCAGTGCTGTCAAGGGAGAGAACATTTGCGTATAAAGTAATTGATATTTATAAGAAACTGCAGAGAGTTGTATGTGATAGGACAGAATGCCTCTGCAGATGGGTTTCTCAAAGTTTATAAATTATGTAAGGGCCATGCCATAGTTCAGGTGGTTAGTTGCCAGCTTCCCACCATGGTGACCTGAGTTTGATCCCAGGTCAGGTCCTGTGGGATTTGTCATGGACAGCGTGACACTGGGGCAGGTTTTCTCTGAGTCCTTAAATTTCTCCTGTCAATTCTCATACCACCAAGTGCTCTGCACTCAATCATCATATATCATTTGGAACTGGTTCAGTGGGCCAAATAGTGGTTTGACACACCAAGTGGACTTATTGTCACTCCACACCAAAAATTTAAAAAGAAATGGTATATAAAGTGATGTAGAGGACTGATCATGAATGTTTACAGGTTTGTGGATGATACCAATGTGTATCGTGTGACTATCCACAAAACATTTGAGGGCAATTTGACGACAAAGCCAATCAATGGAGCAATCTTCATCTTCAATCCTCGTACTGGTCAGCTGTTCCTGAAGATCATTCACACTTCTGTGTGGGCTGGGCAGAAACGTTTGGGGCAGCTGGCAAAGTGGAAGACAGCAGAGGAAGTGGCTGCTCTAATTCGGTCATTGCCTGTGGAAGAGCAGCCAAAACAGATCATTGTCACGAGAAAGGGAATGTTGGATCCACTTGAGGTAAAGTGTTTTTATATATTAGTAATAAATTAAATGTGATGAGAATGTAGACCAAATTGTAGTATTAATTGAATAGAAATTAATAAATGACTTACATTACTGTCACTTTGTTCTTTTATGTATGTAGGTACACTTGCTGGACTTTCCCAACATTGTGATCAAGGGTTCAGAGTTGCAGTTGCCATTCCAGGCCTGTCTCAAAGTAGAGAAATTTGGTGATCTGATTCTGAAAGCCACAGAGCCACAGATGGTTCTCTTCAACCTGTATGATGACTGGCTGAAGACCATATCTTCATACACAGTAAGATCAACTGTCATTATTTTAGGCACAGTCTTCAGTTCTGTGTACTTGCATTGTAGGAACTAAAGATTTGAAAGAATGCCTTTTGATATGACATCTAAATGTATAGACAGTGGCACAATGCCTGACAATTAGAACCTGATATATTTCAGTGCTTACAGTGTTTAATATTCCCCAATGGTGATGTCAGCATTGATATTGTTGACATCATCATTGTCATCCTTTTCAGTATAAGGATAATTGAGATCTGTTACGAGTATTACGAAACAGACTTCATGCATTGTTTGAAAATATTTTTTGAATCCTGTGAGAACTCAATTTGACTTGTTCTCTCAAATTTCTTTTCTGTTGTTTTGTATAAATTCTCTTGTTTATGGAATTTGTAGTTCTGTCATACTTTATTTTTATGGTCCAAAAGGGCGTGTCTTGCATTTCTTCTGATATTCTGCTCTTGTCGCTTCTTACTCTCCATGCGTCACAAGGTTATTGGCAGGGTGTCTTGTAAATCTTTGTTTGTTTATGCTTAGAAACCAGTGATAGGTTGTAGATCCGATTTATAATTTCTGGTATTGTGACAGTAACAGTTCTTACATTCATGTCATTCACTTATTTAAAATTTTAGATACACAGCATATCGATATGTATATAAAAACTTGTGAATCTATATCCACTTATTTCTTGTGCAGTATATTATATAATGTAATAGAGTGTGTGATTAGTCATGCCTGATATTTAATCCCTTTATATTATAGGCCTTCTCACGTCTGATCTTGATTCTGCGAGCCCTGCATGTGAACACAGAGTGTACCAAAGTGATACTGAAACCTGACAAGACGACCATCACAGAGCCCCATCACATCTGGCCAACATTAACTGATGAGGAATGGATTAAGGTGGAAGTTCAGCTGAAAGATCTCATTCTTGCAGATTATGGCAAGAAAAATAAGTATGTATTATTATTATTATTATTATTATTATTATTATTATTATTATTATTATTATTATTATTATTATTATTGGAGGGGGTGTGTTTCCCCATGCACTGCGACTAGTTATTAATCTAGTGTGCATCCCCCTTTAATATTCTACCAGTTGCCATGCCCTTCCAGTACTGGTGCTCGCTATCAGCCCCATTTTGTCAGCGAGGTCGGCCCTCTCTGGCAGTGGTCCCCGATACTTCCCCATCTACCGGAGGAATTGGAAACTACTTGGGCGGGAAACTTTGCCTAATTTTGCTCAGAGGTCTCCTAGACACATGAGGATCTTTTACGTGCCGTAAATCTACGACACGGGACACATGGCTTAAAGTCCTTCCTGGAGGACTTGGTCCCTCAAATTTTCTGCCCTTAAAAATTCCACAACCTCCTCTGGTTTTGAACCTGTGAACCTTGAGTCAAAATAAGTATGTATATTTCAGTAGTCTTGTAATCAGTACATGCAAGGAAAAAGGAGAACATCGTAGTTCGTATGTGTCATATACTAGTATCATAGAAATTAATGTTCTTTTCCTTAATCACTGGTAATTGAAAAAAAAATAGTTTCTTACATGTTATATTTATTGTGCATAATTACATCCCAGTTTTGTTATAGCTATTTTCTCTTGTCATCATTTTGATTATGTTCAGATCCACTTCCTGTTGAGTGCGTTACATATAGTTTCATTGTATTTCACAGAATTGTTGCTCTTCCCTGCCCTCCCCCCACATACTGTTCTGATGTGGGTGGAGTAATAAAGTTGTGGAAGTTACATGTTCAGTCACTAGCTTATCTGCTGTTGCTTCTGATTTATTCAACCAAAGGTTGTATTTGTACTGGAACGTCCATTAATGTTTCTGGATTTAAGCTTTTCTCTCAGTTAATATTGAATTTCAGTGATCACAAATTAATGGTGTCTGTTGAATTTACTGAACTGAAGATATTCTTTAGTTTAGTGTTGGTGAAATCTGCTGCTCACCAGAGGAACTCTGTACATGTTTTTCACTACATAAATTGTGTCTATGATTATTTTGTTAAATACCTAGGAGTGTGATTAGTGTATGTTTTAATTTCCAGTGTCAATGTGGCATCACTGACTCAGTCAGAAATTCGTGACATCATTTTGGGTATGGAGATTAGTGCTCCATCAGCTCAGCGCCAGCAGATAGCAGAAATTGAGAAACAAACGAAGGAACAGTCTCAGCTCACAGCTACTACAACACGAACAGTCAACAAACATGGTGATGAGATTATCACATCCACCACATCCAATTATGAGACGCAGACATTCAGGTGCTTGTACATTTCTTTATGGTGGTTTAGGTGGTTACGTTATAACATCTGAATAAAAAATTGGTTATCCAACATAAGTTGTTCTTTCATATGTTACTCTCTTTGTACATAAATTGACAGGATTCTGTTGCAGTGAATTCTGATTGTGATCGTCTTGGTTGGATTCAAGCTTACTGTTAGTTCAGACAGGGCCAACATAGATGTAAACTGTGTTGAGACAATAACAAAGAATATTTAAGATATTACAAGTCTGGCTAGATAGTTAACTGGAAACCAGAAATTACTGTTAATATTATTGTCACGTGTTGGGTATGTCACGCGACAAATAATTTCACGTGGGTCTCTGAGATAGCGAATCTTTATTGGGTACTCACTCTTACACTCTTTACAATTATTATCAGTTGTAGTATCACTTGGCTTCTATCTCAGTACTCAGTTCTCTAATACATGTTGTAAGCTCTGCTTATATGGAGATTATGCGGACTCAATAGAGGACACCCCTCGCCAAGGTTTGATCTCACGTGTTCGGCAATCCGTTGCTTCAGGAACGCTCCTTATACACTGTTAACATGTTTCGTCTCATCCGTTGTTACTCAGTGACAATTTGTTGCTACGATTTGTCACTGTGTGAACTCCACAATTTCCACGTATTTGTTGTCATGGAAGTGTCCATTCCGATTGTAGTGGTTGTCGCGGTGATGGACGTAAGATAACTTGTCACATTGCTCCCTTCTAAAGGTTGTTCGTCCCCGAACAGCCTAACGGTACTTCCTTGGTTTTGTTTCCTGAGTTCATCTTCCTAATGGTATCTCGGCCCTTCTTTCCATCCTCTATTCTTCCATCCGCCCCCTTTCTTCCAGAGTGCTCGCCCCGAGCACTTCCGTGGTCAAGGATTTGTTGGTCCCATTGTCTCGCATTCATTCTACATTTTCATTCTTTCCTCATTTGTTCTTGCTAGGGAGGCAGATGCTTCTACTGCTGGTTCCTCCCATGCAGGACGTTTCCCTTTTTTCGTTTTGGAGGGGGTTGACCCCTCCACAGTGTTCAGTTTTTGATGCCCTGTAATCTGCTGGAAATCTCTACTGTTTGTTGCCCGATATCCAGCCCTTGGGTCTTCCTGAGGGTTCAGCTGTCTGTTCTCTCGTTCCCAGGATGCAGCCACTGTCTTGTGTATCCAGTCTTCACTCCAATGCTGCCCTCCGGTTCAACCTGAAGTCTCCGCCCTTTGGGGGCTCCTCTTGCAACGTTCCCAGTCTGTTTGTTCCCGATGATGTGTCCCCCACACCGTGCCACTGCTGCATGGTGGGACGTATTCGGCCTGAGGATGTCTCTCATGCATTGTGCCGCTGTTGTGTGACGGGACATCCTAATGTCGCTTCTCTTGTCCTCTTGCCGTGCCTCATCCCTCTGCGGGCGATGGCCAATTTCTTCTGCGGTTTGCAATTTTCCAGTGTCAAATCCTTCACTTTCTACCAGCGGCACTCCGCAGCCAGTTTTCGGTCCCTATGCCTTTTCTTTGATTCTCCGACCGGCATTACTTTGGTGTTTTCTATGGGTACCTTTCATTCTGCCGCCTCATGTTTCCTGTCCAGTGAGGTTGGCTTTCTCTCCTCTTGACGTGCCTCCATCTCTTGGCAGGCCAACGTCTCATCACAATTGTTGTTCACCCATTTGTCTCATGGTGGTCATGTCTTCTCACCATGCTTTCATATTGGCCTCCCTTTCTTCCTTCTTGGCTTTTCTATCAGCGTCCATCCTGGCCAGCAATTCTTCTTGGACTGCTTCTCTTGCATGGCCTTCGTCTCTTTCAGCAGGAGTTCCATCATCTGCTGTGAGTTCATTCTAGCTTGTGTGCCATTATAACACTTGAGGTGGCGTTAGTCTAATAACTCTTCCAAATTCGCCTTAGAATCCGAACTGAACTTCTGACACCAGTTGTCACGTGTTGGGTATGTTACGCGACAAATAATTTCACGTGGGTCTCGGAGATAGCGAATCTTTATTGGATACTCACTCTTACACTCTTTACACTTATTATCAGTTGTAGTATCACTTGGCTGATGTCTCAATACTCAATTTTCTAATATGTGTCGTAAGCTCTGCTTATATGGGGGTTATGTGGACTCAATAGAGGACACCCCTCGCCAAGGTTCGATCTCACGTATTCGGCAGTCCGTTGCTTTGGGAATGCTCCTTATACTCGTACACTGATAACGTGTTTCGTCTCATCCATTGTTACTCATCGACAGACAATTCGTTGCTACAATTTGTCGCTGCGGGAACTCCACAATTTCCACATATTTGTTGTCGTGGAAGTGTCCGTTCCGATTGTAATGGTTGTTGCAGTGATGGATGTAAGGTAACTTGTCACATTATAGTACTGCTAATAAATTTGTTCCATGTATTGAATGATTTAATACAAGTATTTTGGGCCTTTTCTGTTTCGTATTATAATTTATATATTGAAAGAGTGAAGAAGAGCATTTCATTTACCGTTATGGATTGCTGTTTAGTATTCATTATTATTCATATTATTAATCTTTTTATAAACTTATGAATACTTCTTTTGCTCGGGCTTTTAGACGCAGTTTTCTTCTTATTTAATATTGCATGTTGGCATATGTTATATGGACAGTGCTTGTTGCTATTATACATTTTCATTTTTGAAGATTGTAATCTTCTGGGTTGCAGTACTGTTTAGTTTGGAGAGAGCATGAAGTCTAAAAGAACATACTGTTTCCATATTCAGGGCTGAAGTGTTAAATCAAGCAGGAAGCAAGTGGGAAGCTGATTATAGCTTGCCACCATCAGGCTGTCTCCCGTCTACATGGGATTACAACCCAGAGGACTCTACTCTTTATAGTTGCTGCTAGAATAACTCGGATATAAATTTTTCATTTTTGTATGAGAGCATATTGTTTATCCTTTTAAGTTTCCAGGTTTGTTTCTTAGCATTCGCTTGTTAATACATTTCACGTATTATTAAGCATGTCATGACAAATGCACTGGCGTTTTGTTTATTTTCAGCTCTAAGACTGAGTGGCGGGTGCGTGCCATCTCAGCAACAAATCTTCATTTGCGAACTAATCACATCTATGTGTCGTCTGATGACATCAAGGAGACAGGCTACACGTACATTCTTCCAAAGAATGTCCTGAAAAAGTTTGTGACCATCTCAGATTTGAGAGCACAGGTTTGTTTATGCAGTCATCCATCCACCCACTTATTCATCCACTTACATGTGTTTCTGTGTGATACACACCTTCTATCTGCATATTTGTCATCTCTTGCTGTGGTAAGGCCTCGTTCATTCTTTTCTTCTCTTGCAGTTTCAGAAGAAGGTTTCAGTACATGTGTAAATACTGCATTTTATTTAGAGTGAATTTCATTGCTCAGAATTTGATAATGTGAGAACTGTCTCACTGTGTGAATTGAAGAATTCATAGTGTAGCTTATGGTATAAGCAAAGTGTTCGCAGTTGCTATTTTTAACCATTATCATCGGGGATAGGTGTTTAAATCTTCCAGCAGCACAGGAATGGTGGTCATATTTTAATGTCAGGAATAGGGGGTTTTAAATCTCCTGTCTCTTCATGTCTGGTGGCCATGTTTTAACTCAGTGATATTAGTATTGAAAGAATGCAATGCTCAGCCAGCTGGACAGTGAAGTGCACCAAACATTATAACTGGTGCACTTCCAATGAAACTTAACTTCACCCTTGTTCTTTTAGTGTAACATTTGCCCAAAGGTGAAGTTGTCCCTGTGCTTAAATAGCCACATTGACATGAGGACATGGGGGAGTGGAGATATAGCTCCACGCATTCTTAGCCTTGGTTTAGTAAGAAGTAAATGGTCTTCATCATGCCATAGCTGCTTTATGGCTGGACAAAGAGCCTCCAATACCTGTTGGGGACTGGAGAGATCAAATCCTAAATTGATATTGTAGGAAAATTGTGCCAGAAGTGGTTATGAAAAATATGTTATTTGGAAATTACAGTTCTCAGGAATGCAGTGCCAGGCCGCACCATAGCTCAAGCGATTAGTCACTGGCTTCTCACCACGGCAGCCCGGGTTCGATCCCGGGTCTGGTCAAGTGGGATTTGTGGTGGACAAAGTGGCGTTTCCCCTGCCAATCTTCATTCCACCAATTGCTCCACAATCACCCTCATCTTTCATCTGGGGCTGGTACAATAGGCCAGAAGTGGCCGCATTACAAGGGACTTAGTCCTACCCCACTAGCAATAAAAAAAATGCAGTGCCAAGTAGTTTGGAAGGGTACCAACATTTTGGAGGACCCTGTTGCTTTCACCATTGTAGAAGTGATCTGAAGATGGAGGCAACATATTCCTCCAAAATGTTCGTACTTCTCTGCGAGACTATGTTGCATCACATCACTGCCATGAATGCCCCAGAGCTAGATAGTGTTTTGGTTTCAGATTGCCGGATACCTTTATGGTATGAGTCCACCTGATAATCCTCAGGTGAAGGAAATTCGTTGCATTGTGATGGCTCCACAGTGGGGCACTCATCAGACCGTGCACTTACCTAACCAGTTGCCACAGCATCAGTACCTCAAGGAGATGGAACCGCTGGGTTGGATACATACCCAGCCCAATGAGTTGCCTCAGCTGTCGCCACAGGACATTACTACGCACGCCAAAGTAATGGCAGATAATTCTACATGGGATGGAGAGAAAACTATTATCATCACTTGCAGCTTCACTCCTGGATCTTGCTCTCTGACAGCTTATAAACTCACTCCGAGGTACAGTGGTCCTATGGGTTGCTTTTATAGGACAAACACATAGTAGAAATTTTAATTATGCTTTTACTGTTTTAATTCATAAATACTTTGGAAGTTACATGATGAAAAGGTTAGCATGTGAAATAAAGTCCTTACAGAACAGTCATTTTGCTGGCTCTGTGAAATGTGGTGTCTTTTTTTTGTGGGAAGATGAGAGTGCTCCAGAAAATAAATATTTGAACCCATGCCCATTGTGTCCAAAGAGCTCGAGGCTCCACTATTGTTCTGCTATGCTGCTGGGAATATTGGCATGGAAAATTGACAGTATTTTCACATTGTATTCTCTTTAAGAATAGAATATAATTCTCTGTTATTGATGATTCTTTATTGACAGCTCAACTATACCAATATTTAGTGTTGTAGTTGACAAGTTTCTGACAATATTGCTTGTATCTTTCATTCACATCCAGAAATAGGGCAGAAGGTTGAACTGCATATAATGCAAGTATTCTGTTGTGGTCCTTTCCTTTCGTGAAATTGTATACATCCTTCCATTTGTTCGGATTATATAAAATCTTTGTTATTTTCAGTGGATACGAGTGGGGTCGACAGAACACTGATAAAGGCAACAACCCAAAAGGTTACTTACCAAGCCATTATGAGAAGGTGCAGATGTTACTTTCAGACAGGTTCCTTGGTTTCTTCATGGTTCCAACACAAGGTTCATGGAACTACAATTTCATGGGTGTGTATTAATTATTAGTCTTTCAGTCTAAAATTCCACCATAGGAATGCCAAGGCTGCCTGGTAAGTGCAGTTGCACAGAAAAGTCTACAGTGGATTATACAAAAGACCTTCACATAACAGCAGGTTTACATTCTATGAAAGTGTGTTCTGTCTTCTGGGATAGATATATTGAAGTGTAGTCTGGCAGAAGTCTACTGATGTTCCATTGACACATCAGTGGACTTCTACCAGATAACCCAGAAGAGAGTATGCTTCATAGTCACTATTGTGAGAACTGAAATCCAAAATCTAAAATAGTTTTGAAAGCCATGTGTCACACCACTATCAGAAAGTTTTAACCTTAGAATTTTTTTTCAGGTGTCCGCCATGATCCTAACATGAAGTATGAGTTGCAGCTTTGCAATCCGAAGGAATTTTACCATGAAGTTCACCGCCCAGCCCATTTCCTTAACTTCTCGTCCTTGGAGGATGGAGATGGAGTTGGGGCAGACAGAGAAGACATGTATGCATAAGTTGCAAGGTGTACATATGTATGTGTGAACATTGTATGTGTATATAAAGAAATGTCATTTGAGTTTTCAATTTTAATAAGTTCAGTGTTAATTAGTGTTAATTATTAAGACTTGTGTAATGATAAAGTGTCTGTGACTCTATTAGAAACATTTTATTATATCAGAACAGCTTCATTAGATAATCAGTGGGAAGTGAGCATTCCTATTTTCATATGTTATTGCAGTAATTATGAGTCACATGTAACTTCTAGAATTTTGTGTTACACTACTTTGTGTTCACATACATGTTTAAATCTAGGATCAATAAAGAATTACACTATATACGGTTCCTTGTAGTCTTTCTTTCCACTTCAGTGGTAGTCCCTTTATATGAATGTGATGATAGTGCCCAGTGAGTGACCTTATGCCCCTGTCCTTCCATATCATTATTATATTCATGATCATGTTCATCTTATGTGATACCAGATATCCCCTGCAGTTTTTATATTGGAATTCTTGGGAAGAATTGACTTCAGTTTAAAAGCAAATCAGAAAATGGAAGAGTTCTGTCCCTGCAGCCCTGTGAAAGTCAACCAGTGTTTTCAGAAGAATGTAATGTCTCAATCTTCAGGGTCGAAGAATGAACTGAACTAGAAACCAGCATGGAGCAGGCAGCAAGCAGAGCTGTGCTTGCCACCTGCTTTCATGCTGGTTTCTTGCTCAGTGTATTCTTTGACCCTGAAGATGGAGGCGATATGTTCCTCTGAAACATTGGTTGACTATTAACAGACTACATGGTGTTATATGCCAGATGATAGTACCCTTTAAGGTGAATCTACTTTTTCTAGTGATGTTTTTCAAATGTCTTTGGGGACAATGTTTTACTGGAGGTTGTGAGTAAAATCTGAATTTTTCAAGTCTACTCGTATATTGGGAGTGATACTGATTCTCTTAGGGTGTCATCTGTCCTCTAAGGAAAGGAAGCTGAGACACAATAACTCTACAAGTCTTCAACAGATCAATACTGTGCATGGGATTTGAGGTTATGGCAGTGAATATTAAGTTGCTGGGATGTGATGCTACATTGTCTGGTCAATGGGACCAAGATGGAGAGAGCGTTTTTTTTTTCAAAACAGTTGGCACCTATCTACCAAACTACATGGGATCACATCCCAGGAGGTTATGTTCTTTAATTAGTTAACTTCTCAATTCAGTTGACTGATTTTATGGATTTATTGAACATGGAGGTCTTGTTTGTGGGAGCAGCACAGATGTTTGCTTTATGGTGGGTGCCATCAACTCAGTAGGGAGGTAAGAAAAGTGTAGAATACTGGTGTGAGGATACTCTTGAAAATGGTTATGAGTAATACCAAGGTGGAGATTTGATAATAATAAGATAAACTTTTGAGGATGGGAGCTGGATTGCACAGAGTGAAGATGTGTCCAGATGCAGGAATTGGATTTATCAGTATTAAATCTTTAGTTCTGCTGGTGGAATTGTTGGTTGGTTAAAATTCTGTTCATGAGCATGTGAAACACTGATTTTATTAATAGTGTATAACATAAATTCACATTTACTGGTCTGTAACAATTTTTATGCACTTATATTACAAAATTGTTAAAAAAAGATGAATACAAAACATAACTTAAAATATATTTTTTGGAGTCTTCATGACGTATTACATGATATGTGAAAGCCCATGTTTCTTAAGTACAGGTACAACATTTGCCATATTTTAGATTACATTTCTTCTTGTGTGATATTATGAACACATTGTCTTTACCATTAAAAATCCTAAAATTATACTTTGGCAGTTAAGTGTATTACTTCAGGGTCATAATAAAACAGAAACCCATCTGTAACTCTGGTGAAAGTGGTAACTTATTAACAGTCAGCAACTCATTTGTGATACTGCTTTTTTCATCTTAGAAACATATACTTAAAAACACAGCAGGAACTTTGAGCCCTTTCAGACAACCCTGAATATATAAACTTAGTGTGTCCACTTGGCCAACTCCACATTATGTTACCTTTTTTCACACTGATACAAAACACGCTCATGTTTTTATGTTCTCTGAGTGTCTGAATTTTTGTGGCTGTTCAAAAGATGTAAGTTGAAGAGGTAGTAAACAATTTTCTGACGAAATGGAGAGAACAGTAAGAAAAATAGCAGTGGTTTAGGTGTGCTTGTTAAAAGAAATCTGGTCTGGAGTATATGAAGCACTGGTATGTGTTACCACTAAATACCTTAACTGTGAGTGGGAAGCACATAATTGTACTCATTTCAATGTTTTTATGCTGTGATCATATGAAGTATGCTTATTATGATTTTATTTTCATCAAGCATCTGACAGAGAAGATGTGACCAGTTTTGCTGTAAATATCTGGGTTTTACAGTGCCAGGTGGTTCAACAATATATAATGGAAGAACATGTTTCATGCTACAGGTTCCATGTCAATTGAATAGAAAAGATGAAAGTGGTTAAGGCTGAAGTTAAACTGTATGACATTGGAACTCAACTGAAAGCTTAGATTTAGAAATAAGTTCCTGTACTCACACAGCAACAGAACAGTTAACCATTGTGGTCTGTAATACTAGTCACTTAGAATCTTGTGTTCAGACTCTGCACTGCCAGTGGTTCAAGGATTGGTGATCAACTGATATCTCAATGGAGACCTTCAGTTTTATGTTTTTATTTTTTGACACATGATTTACTTTAAGTACACGTAGCTACATAATGGTGAAAAGTTGAAACAGTCACATCTAGAAGTACATTCTCAAGATTGAGACACCCTTAGGAGCAGAAGTTGGCACTCTGAGACTTGTCTGTGGAAGATAAATTGCACACAAAAAGCAGGACACATTTTTTTCTGGTGAATGCTTGTCCATTATGTTGGGAAATGTCAACTGTATTAGCTCATTTACACAGTCAAAGAAAGACTGTGGTTGAACTCGAACACTTATCTGGCAGTATATCAGGACTGCATTCTGTTAGACAGTATTACGGTGCATCCAGTGTCCACACTATCTACTTCTAACTTTTTGTGTTTTCAAGCATAGGAACAAGCAGGAAAGTTAAATTATCAAATTACGTAAGAAAAAGTTTTAAAATATGAGATGTTTGTTATAAAGTGCCAAATATTCTCTGTTTGAAACCTAAGCCTTTGTATTATACCAATTCATCTCAAGTCTCTTCTAAAATAGGTTCTCTTAATGAAATATTTTGTTTCAAGAGATTCCCTTTTTCACTAACTACAAAATTCCCCAAGTTTGCTTTGCACAGTGTTTGTCTTCATTTTCATTTCAACTAAAGAAATATCTAATAAGGAAACAAGAAACAAATTCTGGTTCAACATGAATAGCCAGGAAATGTCAAAGTACTTAACAGTGCAAAGTTTCATAAACACGCTTATATAATGCTTGATTTCATCTGACCGCAGTATGCAATCATATCTAGTTATAACACTGGTGTAACAGATACTTTAATCTGTCTTCCTTAACTAGATAACCATAGCAATGATCTGATGTCAAAAGTGTCACAAAGCAATCACCTTATTTCATTTCAAGATGTTCTGACATAATGTTCAATAATACTTCTTTGAGAATTTGGAATAATAAGTACAAGTATGATTCTAATTCAAATTTAAGGCCAATTTTCTGTAATAAATATATAAAAATTTATTTCTATAGATGTTTCCAGTTTCAAGACCCTTTATCTTGGACGCAATAGGTTACGCTCATCTCCTTCTTTGAAGCATTCCTCCCAGCCTATCTTTGAAGTTTACCTCCAGTAGCAGTAATGGCATCAGAGATGTAAGTGGTACACGGTTACATCTCTGGCTGAGACTAGACTGATCAAGGCACATCACTGGTACAGTGTGTTCCAGTTGGTTTCATGTGAAACTGATCATTAGTGGAACTGTATGTGGAAGTATATGATGTTGTTGGTCGATATGTCGTGCTGCTAAATGGCGATCCTGAAGACCTTTTGCGGAATCTTCGTATTAAGAGACGAAGAATCTTTCTTTTCCAAACAAATATGATGAAAATAAGTACTCCTTGAAGAGTATTTCCAAGATCAGTTAAATACCAAAGATATTCTGGCCCACCAGCAGCCCAAGAGATGAGCTCCATTACCCAGTTTACTCCCATGACAATGAATAATTTCAGGTACAGGTTGAATCTGCAATCATGAAATTATAAATATAGCGGAATTGCTCAGCACTGGCTAATATGGATGTGATTACTGTTTCCTTATAGGTTTCCTGCGAACTGTCATATATAACACAAGCAGAAGTATCTATTCTTTGCCCAGGATACTGTTGCTTTCCTACTCAGTGTCAAAATCTATAGTAGCTAAAACTATAAAGAAGGCATAACACTTGAAGGGTTCTATCTTCTGGGATGTGACACTGAAATTGAAATTTAGTCAACACAACATTATATCGGAGAAGAGAGAATTCTTCATAACCCCTGATGTGAGAACCTCAAGTCCTAATATAACAGCAGAATAAATTAAAATTTACTCATGTAAAACACCATTTCTGAAAAAGACTCTAATTACATCCATTTTCAATAATACTAGAAAATTTAAGATCAGAATATGCAATATAAACACAGAATGTACTTACCTTTGTTTGTCTGCTTCATTGTCATGTCGTTTGCTCTCTTCTCCTTGTAGCATTCTAGTCTCCCTTTTCAGTTTCATAATCTTCATAGCAGTTGTAATGAACAGAATGATATTGCACAGGACTAGAAATCCAATGGGGCCATAAAAGTATGCCAAGACAGCAGTATCAGCTGAAAGAAATGAAGAAAGTTAAGCACAATCAGACCCAGCCCACACCACGCTTCTCTTTGTTTCATTTCAGACTCTGGACAGATGATTGGGAGAAGAAACTGAAGACAAAGAAGGAAAATGAGGAGGGTGATGAAGGAGAAGCAAGAGGAAAGAAAAGGATTCAGGCTAATATTTGGCCAGCCTGTGTCAGTAGCCTTGTATTGAACAAAAATGTATTTACAGCTGTGATTAAGATCTAGGATCCGATACCATATAATTTGGTAGACAGGTGACATCCTTTTAGATCAGTATGGTTAATTCTTTTCTGTACCCTGAAGATGGCAATAACAATCGGCTGAATATCCTCTATAAAAAGATGTTGAAATGTGGAGACGAGAAGTGCACATATAATTTTAACAGAGAAACCTGATGGGAGGAGGGGAGGGGGCAATCAGTGATCCACAAGGATAATTTTATTTATTTACTTATTTTGGGTTTATTTAATGACGCTAATATCTTGGATTGTATAGCGTTAAATTGTAAGATGATTAGTGAGCAATGAATAGTAATGTATATAGGTAGATGAGGATGTGAGAACCTGAAGGGGAGACACCGTTTGCTAGACCTAGGTGTAGATGGGTGGATGATTTTATTTATTCGTTTGTCTATTCATCTATGTATTTATTTGCTGTCAGTAGTTTAGACTACACAGCGTTAAATTGTGGAGTGATGAGTGATGAATTTAAAAGGCCGTGGAATGAAGTGGTAACTGTTTAATTTGAGGTAGTATTCCGTTATTTGATTGGACGAGCTAAGAGAACTGCAGAAAACCTCAATCAGAGGAGTGGGTCTTTGTGCCGCGATTTGAAACCCGGATCTCCCACATTCTAAGCAGGATCGCTACTCCTCGATAGCGAAGTTTGAATGGGAGTATATTAAAATAAATCTTAAGCAGTTAGGTGTCGACTGGTTTCATCTGGCTTAGAAGAGGCTCCAGTGATGGTCAGGTCTGAAAACGCTATTTAACTTCTGGGTTCCATGAAAGTCGCATAAGTTTTTTAACCAGTTGAGCAACCATAGAAACGTTTTATCCCACGGAGTTAAGTTCCATTGCATTTGGATGTGTTCTCGCTGTAGTGCATTCTGGGATGTGACGCCGTGTAGCCCTGCGAATATGCAACCTCAATCATAGATCACTCCTACCCCGTCTGTACCTTACCTTCCATCCTCCTACAGTGTCATATATGACCTTTCTGAGGCCCGGTACTAGTTACTGTTCTGCTTTCCTCAGCTGATTACCTTTGGGCTCCTTAGCAGGCTGGAACGAAGTTTTCATTGCGAAGTTCGCTCTGCTTGTTTCTTGCATGGCTTCTTCTTCAAGCTAATGGAAACAGTATGTCCCTCCGAAACGTCGGTGTACGGCATCACATGTACTCTATATTACTTTTATTTCTGTGAGCAGTATCCGGGGAGTACGCGGTAACATGGTTCGTTGAGGCACTATCCTACAAGCCGGTAGATCGCTGGTTTGATTCCCGGTGAGGTCATTAGTTGACCTATTCCTTCCAGCCGCACTATGGCCCTGGGGTCGACTCGGCCTCTAACAGAAATGAATACTCGGAATCTTCCAGGGGGTGAAGGGCCGCCGGTGCATAAGGCTGAAAAACTTCACTCCATCTGTGAATCGACTGTCTAGAAAATGTAGGAGCCTCGACGTCTCAAAATCCTGTTGGTCTCCACGGCCTCTTACAGGGATAGCTTTACCTTTTTTTTTCTTCTGTGAGTAGTAGCTATTGCCAAAGTCTTCTCTTTCGGGCCAGGGTGTTGTACTGTTGTCACCCTGCAGAATTAGTTGCTGATCAAGCTGAAATCGGATCGAGTGGTTCTCCAGTCACGAGGTGCAGTGATACGAGTCAGCTGTTTTCAAGTAACTATCTAAGTGTTGTACAAGCAGCGGAATAACGTTGCAACTCTTCGCTTTCGACCGTCTATTTATCTTGCCCAGTGTTTTGGTTCTTAAAATATTTTCTTGTTTCAGATTAAATCGCATCGGAATTTCAATGTACGTATAACCATGTGTCTTTTCACAGTTGTTCAAGAAATGTTGGCTCATTGCTTACATTGAATACACATCACTAACTCGACAGGAGCGTAGTTTCTGTGTAACACATTAGCTAAAGATGATAGAAATTTTAGAAATGAATACTCTCTCTCTATATGGCTGTACAGCGCTTGGGACCTTGGCCACTTTTTCAGTTTCTTAATCCTATACACAGACGGTGGGCGGGGATCAAACTGTCGCAAGGCCGTACCTACACACAAAACAACACAAACACAGAATTAACGCATACAAACATCCATGTTTTGAGTGGGATTCGAACCCACGACCCCACCGGTCGAGCGGGTGAAGACAATGCCTTAGACCGCGCGGCCACTGTGATCGGACAGAAATTAATACTAGAAGGTTCAGATGAACATTTCAGTGGGGAGGGGGGAATTTCAGTAGCTAGGCTATATAGTATCCAATGGTAGAATAACATGAAGATTACGCAGAAAGCGATTGTGGCCTAATCTAGATATTATCGCAACATCTGTTCGGAGTAACTGAGTAAAGCAGTGAAAACCCTCAGTCAGAATAGCCGCTGTTTCTGCTGCGATTCGAGCCGACCATCTACAGGATGAAGTGTGGAACGTTACCGCTACTCAGCCTTCTCAGTGGTAATGAGCAAAATAATTACAAAATTTCGTAATACGGTTGATTAACCCTTTAGAGCACAGCGGTACGTCTGCCTATCACATGCATTATGCGTTCCGTATTATTCCGTAAATAAACAGCGATCATTTCCGCAAGCAGCATTAGCATAAATATATATTTATTTTTTACTGCAATTGGGCTTATTCCCGGTGGCAGTGTTTACAAAAACGGACATACAGAAACGTACATAGTGGTCTTTGTAATAGAAACGGCGTTGTTTTCTGTGATGTGGGAGCTGAGTTTTAAAATATTAGTTCTACGGACTTCGGGTTTCAACCCTACTAAACGTTCCTTTGCTCATAATAATGTGCCGTTTCCCAACGCCTTACCTTCTTTACTTCCCAGCTCTTTATCTTCTCAAACTTTACAAGAAGGACTACCACCTCGGCGACCCGGGTTCGATCCCAGGTCAGGTCATGTGTGATATGTGGTGGTGGACGAAGTGATACTGGTGCAGATTTTCTCCGAATACTTTGCTTTCCCCTCCCAATTCTCATCCCACTAACTACGATACATTAATATTGACACTGTATAGTTTCGATAATGAGAGCGTCGTTAAATAGCCAACTTCAGAAAAAGAAAAAGTTACGACTGGACAAAGCTGAGGAACATTCAAACTGTTTTTTTTTGTAGGATTTGAGGTTCTCATGCCTGTTGATATGAAGAGATACATTGTCACGGGTTAAAGCGTGAATGTAGACGGGTTTTGATTCGAGACTGGATTTACTAACCACGTTAACACATGACATGCGCTACACTTAGTTATAGCGCCATCGCGGATCTCCATATGTACAAATTTCTACTGCACAGGCTAAGACATTTCAGTCTGCTCTGTCTTCACCAGTCGTTCCCCTGTAACGGCTTATGACAGTGGAGATTCTTCAGCTTCCACGCTCACTTCGTTACCCATTGGCTCTCGACTGCACCGACTACATTTTCTCGTCACAGACTCCTTTACAACTTTTCAAACTTTTGCTCCAGTTGTCCACCTTTTACGTCTCTGCACGGGCAGCATACAAAAATATTGTTCATTGCTGTACTCCAAGCGTTTCCGGGGAACATGTTTATTTGCGAATGCGTTACTCAGTGATGGCTGCGTATATCCGCGTACTAAGAATCTGTTGCCTAGCAGAGGATGTTGCTTCGTTGTTTGTTCCGCGGTAACGGGTCTACACGCTTGTGGGATATAACGCCGTGTAATCCGTTGAAAATCAACCGACGTTTGACTCTGGTTTCTTTCTTAGTTTCGTTTTTCAAAACTGAAAATATAAGCGACATGTTCCTCTGAAGCGTTTCGTTGACTTTCAACGGACTAAACGATTCTAGAAGATATAGCTCTTTGTAACCACCGCTGTGAGAAGCTGGAATCCTACAAAAAATTCAACTTTGAATGTTCCTCAGCCTTGCCAAATCGTAACTCTTTTTTTTTCTGAAGTTGGTTATTTAACCACGCTGTCATTATCGAAACTATACAGATAAGTTAAAGCGGTGTTTACATTAGCGTGGTGCCACGGCGAAATCCTGAGGCGTGAAAATGTGCCGTTTTTGAAAGCCGTGACCACGCTTCGGAGTGGCGTATTCGCACGCCTTTCCTACACACATTTTGCAATGTAAACACTGGAATGTTTGAAACGTATTACACGCCTGGGGTCGAGTTTCCGCGTGATCACGTCAGTCGCTGTACGAAGATGGGAGGGGTGTTACTTATGTGCGGTGCTGTTGCTCAAGTAATAAAAATTGAGCTGTTGCTTGCTGAAAAAAAAAAAAATCAAAATTTTGGAAACTGCCGAAGAAAACGAAGGTGGTGGGTTAGAAAGTGGATTGCTAAGAGAGAAGCGATTGGTCCATCGAGAAGACAATCGGATGAACTTGTATCTAATAACCCAAGAGATTATAAACAAATGTTGCGAATCGCACCAGAAAATTGTATTCTATTGCATAGTATTGTTCTCCGATAACTTAAGCGACAGTTCCCCCGTGATTTCGGCAACGTTCCCGCACGGAGTACACCACAGAACTGACATTCACGCCTGTAAATACGCCGGGCTCAGGCGAAAAAATCAAACGCGGTTTGATTATTTGGCACGCCTGGCTGAAAGAAGCGTGGCGACTGGCAGGCGTGCGTTCACGCCTACGCATTCACGGCTGTTTTTTTACACGAGCCGTGACCACGGCCGAACTACTTTCACGCCTCTTATTAGACATGGCACCACGTTAATGTAAACACCGCTTAAGGCTGTCCCTGTAACAGGCCGTGGAGGCCCG